ACAGACTGGGGATTAGAACACAGACATCTTTGGGAAACTGTTATTTTTCCTACCACATACAACTTTATTTAGTAGAATGCCTGGCTCCGATATGCAAATAATATCTGTTTGCTGCTGTGATATAATTACTGTTATTATCACATCCAATTCAAGAGTGTGAGGAGGCAATGCCTGAGTCTTTGGTACCAGTCTGCATGCAATGCTAAGCCAAATTATTGCAAATCCTGGGACCACTCAGGTCTTGAACGACTTCCAAAGATACACAAATCAAGAGTTTCCATGTGGACAAAAGTTTTGAATAAATTAAGACTTCCTCACTAAATACTATCAGTTTGCACTCATATGCTGGCAGAAAAAACACTGCCTCGTGCTTCAGCATTTCCAAATCAACAGCTAGAACAGATTCCTCTGCTAACCCTCTGTGCCATATCTGCCAGCTGGTCTGATCTGACTCATAAACAGCTGTAGCCTGGTGGTGGGTGAAGGGAACTCAGTAAACCATTTCCAAAACTCCAGGCAATGGGTGGGATAGAAATAAAAATGTTCCCCAAAGTTCCTCAACTTCGATAAAAGTTTGGCTTAAAAGTTCAATCCATGAAATTGAACACAAAGCATTTGGGTCTCAGCTCTGGACTAGAGACCCTCTGGATGGCTGTTAAACTCTTCCTCCCCCGTGTGAAGCACCTGTAGATACCACGTAGTAGTTTCCCCCGACACTTGATGAGACTTCAAGCTCCATGAGAATATGGATTCTTTCAGGAAGTCCACAGTCGATCTCTGAAGCCTGGCACACAGCCAGGACCCCAGGAAGAAGTGCTGAATTAAAGGAGGAGTAAATGCATAGGGAATTACTCATAGGAAAATATGCAAAGCAGGATCCTAACCAACAGCAATATTTAGATTCTGATGCAGGGGTTGACAGTCTGTGGAGTGTGAGCCAATCCTCTGAGTTTTAACTATTTTCCAAATATTTGAGGACACTTGCACGCAAAGAGAAGTGATGAAATTACCAAGGGCAGGGTTCTAGACTTTTACATTCAACCATCATCACTCAAGATAATCTTGAAAACACATACTGAGTAGCTCTGCCCCAGAGTTTCTGATTCAGTACCTATGTGGGCCTGGGAATGTGCCTTTTGGTCACATCCCAGGGAGCACATTTTGCCACAGAATAAGGGTGCCCCAATACACACTGATCACTGTTTAAAAGCCACTCATGTTCCACATGTTAGCAGTAGAATCCAGATTGTGTAGGTCATCTATTTTGAAATTTGGGGTGAATTTTTCCCACAATTCTGTGGTAATAAAAAACACATAAATTAAGAATATGGTGGGATGCTAAATAAAATATCAGAAAGAATAGTGCTTCACAATGGCTGAAATTCTTTCATGAAATGTTGTATCACCTCCAAAGTCAGTCTTCATCAATTACCTCATTCATACTTTACAACAAGCCTGTAGGGAAGCATAATTAATGCAACATGATCCTTACTTCCATTTTGCCAAGGAAATAAATGAGGTTCAAAGGGTTGAAGACACAAGATCAATCCCCTCCACTTCCCCTCCTTGTCCAGGTGCAACCTCTCTAAGCCCAGCCTTGCTTCCTTCATTCTTCTGTAGCCATCACTACTTTGTTTCTACTAACTTTTACACCTGGCTTCCCTCATCTCTCCACTGCCTCCTGCAGCACTGCCTCTTCTAGCTCCCAGTGTGGCCTCTCATTTTCCCTGTTTCACCAAGGAGCAGGCAGCCCATGCTGTCCAAAGTTGTCACTTGCCCATTCTCTGGTTCCACACCCTCACTTCCACTCTTCAACACACTCAGCTGGGCCTCACTGGAATCCTGTCTGGTGCTTACGCTGTCTAACAGAAGCCTGAGTATAATACCAGCCACAAATGCCATGCTATATTTCCCAGTACACACATCTTAAAAAATTAAACAAATACCATGATTTTAATAATACAATGTAGTCAATCCACTATGTCCAACATATTATCATTTTAATATGTAGTCAATATAAGTCAATACCACTAAGACAGTTTACATTTTTTAATAGCAAATCTGAAATTCACTGTGAACTTTAGGCTTATAGCACATTTCAGCATGGCTCAGCCACACTTCCAATGTGCAGTGGCCACATCTTATACAGTACAGGTCTCTACAGTTAAGATGATCTCTCAGAAGCCAGGTTGAATCAGTCTTTTTGGGATTTGTAGTTCTGAAACATTTCTCCTGCTGAGTGTCACCTTCTTTATCCTGGCCATACTCACTTCCATCAATTTCCAAACCACCTTTGCTTCTTGCCCTTCTCTTACATCCCTTATTACTTCTTATGGAAGCCTCTTCTTTCAATAAGTTCCCACAGTGTTAGCGCTTCTCCCGAGTTCCATGTTCCAGCCACTGTTCCTTTCTTAATGTATCATTTTCTTGTATATTTTGGCCAATTTATAGTTAAACTAGAGATGATGATGGCTCCCAAATCCTATATCTAGCCCTAATCACTCCTATATCCAAATAACTGGACATTCAATGTACCCAACCAACCAATTCAACTCAAAAAACTCTAAAACTGACATTAGCATTTACCAACTCAAAACTCAGTGAATGGCCAGTGCCACAGCTCACTAGGCTAATCCTCCTCCTGTGGCACCAGTGCCCCAGGTTCTAGTCCCAGTTGGGGTGCCAGATTCTGTCCTGGTTGCTCCTCTTCCAGTCCAGCTCTCTGCTGTGGCCCGGGAAGGCAGTGGAGGATTGCCCAAGTGCTTGGGCCCTGCACCCTCATAAGAGACCAAGAAGAAGCACCTGGCTCCTGGCTTCAGCTAGGCGCAGCACACCAGCCGTAGCAGCCATTTGGGGGGTGAACCAACAGAAAAGGAAGACCTTTCTCTCTGTCTCTCTCTCTCTCTCACTAACTCTGTCAAAAAAAAAATCACTGAATGATACCTCAGTCTACCACCCACACAGAACCTATAGCAGGGCCGGCGCTGCGGCTCACTAGGCTAATCCTCCGCCTTGCAGCGCTGGCACACTGGGTTCTAGTCCCGGTCGAGGCTCTGGATTCTGTCCCGGTTGCCCCTCTTCCAGGCCAGCTCTCTGCTGTGGCCCAGGAGTGCAGTGGAGGATGGCCCAAGTGCTTGGGCCCTGCACCCCATGGGAGACCAGGAGAAGTACCTGGCTCTTGCCATCGGATCAGCGCGGTGTGCCAGTGGCAGTGCGCCAGCCGTGGCAGCCATTGGAGGGTGAACCAACGGCAAAGGAAGGACCTTTCTCTCTGTCTCTCTCTCTCACTGTCCACACTGCCTGTCAAAAAAAAAAAAAAAACATAGCAATGGGTCCCCACAAGCAGAGGCTGGAGAATTTACCTGTCACAACTTGGGGGTGAGGTACAACCAACACTTAGTGTGTAAACACCAAAGAGGATGCTGAAGTTTTTAAAACATTAAGAAAAAAAAAAAAACTCCTTGGGGCTATGATTTACCCAAATGTCAAGAGAGCCACTGTGGAAAAACAGCTTTTTTCCCCCTTCCTTTCTATTTATTTTTTAATGAATATAAATTTTATAAGTACAACTTTAGGAATAGAGTGAATATTCCCACCATACCCATCCTCCCACCCACACTCCCACCCTGCTTCTTCCTCCCTTTGCCTTCACAGTCACATTCTACATTAAAATTCATTTTCAATTAACATTGTACTCAGACCAATTCTATATTAAGTAAAGATTTCAACAAGTTGCACACACATGTGCAAACACACACACACACACAGTTTGAGAACTAGTTTTACAGTTAACTCTCATAATAAAACTCATTGAGAACCCAGATCCTACATGGGGAGTTAGTGCACAGTGACTCCTGTTGTTAATTTAACAATCTCCCATATGAAGTCAGTGAAACAGCTTTATAGACATAGCTGTACCTATCTCATGCAGAGCCCAGTCGCTATGCCTAGTCCTGTCCCTATCCCAGACTCTGGAGTGGGGCCCAGAGTCGGTGCTTTAACAAGTTCCCCAGTTGACTGTTATGTGCACTAAAGGGTAAGAGACACTGCTGTGAGGCAGAGCCAACCTCAATGTCAAAGAGATTCATGCATTCTTCTTCAGTGACAAGCACTGAAACACTTGATACACAATAAGAAGCTGAAATTCAAAGTCTGAGTAACCCCCTAACTTCAGCCTTTAGGATCAACACCCTGGGCTTTCATGGGAGTTACTTAACTTTGAGTTTTCCCTTTATTAGCACAATTCCAGAGAAACCCATAAATTTCTCAGTACAATAAAGAGTGTTTACTACACAATTCGTTTCTTCAGTCCTAAAGCTCATAGATTGTTTCTTGCCAAATTTAAAACTCAGAAATACAGATCAATGTTCGGTGCTCTGCCAACTGGAAAGGATACAGCATAGACAGCTGCAGGAAAATCTTCAAACATTATATTATTAAGCTTAGTTTATATTTTGAAACACATGAAAGATGCTGCTCATGAGATATAAGGATAAAAATATGAGATGGATGCAACAGCCAGAGCTAAGCAGATTTGAAGCCAGGAGCTTCCTCCAGGACTCCCACACAGTTGCAGGGACCCAAGCACTTGGGCCCTCTTCTACTACTTTGCCAGGCCACAGCAGAGAGCTGGAATGGAAATGGAGCTGCTGGACTTGAACCAACACCCATATGGGATGCCGGTACTGCAGGCAGCTGCTTCATCCGCTATGCCACGGCTCTGCCCACCCCAACCCCAACAACTCAGGCTGTTCCCACTTGTGATCCAGCTGTGTGCTCACCCACCTAGGAAAGCAGAGGAAGCAACCCAAGGACTTGGGCCCCCAAACCCACACTGGAGTACTGGATAAAGTACCTGGCTTCTGCTTCGGTCTGGCCCAACCCCGGCCATTGTAGCCACCTGGGGTGTAAACCCATACACTGAAGATCTCTCCCGCACCACCTCATCTATAACTGCCTTTCAAACCAATCTTTAAATAGAAAAAATGTCCAGTACTTACTATAAGGTGTCAGAATCTTGGAGCAGGCTGGAACAGACACAGAGGGATTCTTGGGGTTTCTTTAACCTTCTGCTTTCTCCTCCGGTGTGCAGACTGTGAAAATTCACCAGATTATGTGCAAATTAATTCGAGTGCCCCGTGCCCATGTTCATGCACATACACATTACACTTCTGAACAACCCAGAGAAGAGAGGTTATGAGTCAAGGCCTCTTCTCATGAATGCAGCCAAGGCTACTTCCGGCCAGGGACAGAAAACCCCCAAAACAGAACTGGGGCCGTGGCAAGAGCTCTTCCTCTCCTACCCCACCCCCACCCACCGGGACTCCTGTCACTCTCCCCCTCCCTTTCCTCTCCCCCATGTACATTTCTTCCCCTCCCTTCCTTGCCTCCCCACCTTCATGCCACCTTTTCATTTTCCCCACTTCTCTCCTCCTGACTCCCCTTTGACCCCTTTCTCCTCCAACTTCTATCCCAGGTACCCCTCACACACACACATACCCTTCCAGCTCTCGGCACCCTGGGCCCCGCCTACCCTGTGACAGGAAGGCTGCTATGCCAAACTCCCCAAAGAATGAGCGTTTCTGTTCCTCTGGAACAGGAACTGAGTCCTGAGGTGTAGTCTTCCAGAAGGGGCCGAAGAAGCCCTGATCCTGGCCTGACCCGGGGAGGCACTGGGTCTCCCTCAGGCTCTTCTAGCAGCATCGATGGAGACTCCTCACAGCTTGTGCAGGCTCTGGGCAGGAGCAGATGCGGTGCTGACTCCCACTGAGCACCAAGGAGTGGATGGGGCCGCACCTGCAGGTGCACTTCCGGGTCACTGCTCAGGGTGCAGGGCACAGGGCGCAGGCGCACTCCTCATGGGCGGCTGCCATGGCGTCACAAGACACATTCAGCGTCTGACATTACAGGGCCTTTTCCAGTCCCAGTGCTCCAGGGAGGCAGCTGCTGATGACCCAAATACTCTGGACCCTGCCTCCCTCCTCTCTGGGAGTCCTGAATGGAGCTCCTGCCTCCTGGCTTCTGCCTGGCCTGGCACTGGCCGTTGAAGCCGCTCGGGGAGAAAAGCTGTGCGTGGGGCATCACGAGTACTCTTTATTTCTCTTGGTGATTGTCCATCTGGGGGTTTACCCCTCATGTGGCTGCAAAGGCCAGGGCTCGGCCAGGCAGAAGCAGAAGCCAGGTACTTTATCCAGTACTCCAGTGTGGGTTCAGGGGCCTAAGTCCTTGGGCCATCTCCCTCTGCTTTCCCAGGCATGTTAGCAGACAGTTGGATCCCAGGGGGAATGGCTTGCTGGGAGGGGCCAGCGCTGTGGGGCAGCCAGTAAAGCCACCACCTGCTGTGCTGGCATCCCATATGGGTGCCAGTTTGAGTCCCAGCTGCTCCACTTCCGATGCAGTAGAAGATGGCTCAAGTCCTTGGGCCCCTGCACCCATGCAGGAGACCCTGGGGAGGCTCCTGGCTCCTGGCTTTGGATTCCCTCAGCTCCGGCCATTGCAGCCAGATGGAAGCAGATGGAAGAAACCTCTCTCTCTCTCTCTCTCTCTCTCTCTCTGCTTTTCCTCTTCTCTGTTACTCTGAATTTCAAATAAATAAATAAGATCTTTTAAAAAAGTAAAAAATAAAAAGGAATGCATAGCTATAAATAAAATACTACACCAACTACTAGAGTTTATTTAGAATTTGATACTATATGCATTACATACCCATTTAACACAGATTTTAAAAAAATCTAACTCAGAAAAGATTTTGGTACCCATTCATTTTCTTCTTCCTTAAAACATTCAGTTTGGTATTATCTCTGACTTCCACTTGAGGAAATGGTTGTAATTTATTTATTCACTCACACAAGGACTTGAAACACCTGTGATCTACTGAGTTCTCCACTGAACACAGGTCTGCTTCCCAATCTCCACCCTCCACAGCCTAGCCCTGCATTTAAAGTACGGATCACGTTTGAAATGGGACAAGTCATGTCTTCCACAAAGCAAGATAGAGTACATAAAGGCAGCATCTGAGATCACTGTTGACATTTTCTAGATGCACATTATCATGGCATTTTTATCTCAATTCTCAATGTTAGAATATTGAGTTAATTTTAATTTTGGTATAACAGAAGAAAATGCTTCATGTTTATACCAGAAGGTGGGATTCCTTAGATATTTAGACAGTTGGGAATTTCTAAAAAAGGACTGACTTTATCATGTATATTAAACAGTTACATGCTGTATTCTTAAAAATGTATTCCAAGAATTTTGATATTAGAAACTTTTTTCCTAGGAATAAATAAATAAAAAGGTATGTACATACAGGCACACATGAGTACACAAACAGACATAAGATTGCCCTACTGAAACACCTGACTCCAGAGTTTATGGTCACCATCACTTGACCAGAAGGCTCAGGGTTAATCCTTGGTACCTCCTGAACCCATCAGCAAGGGGCCATTGCCTCAGCTGCACCCTTACATGCTGCACTGAGGGGCACAGGAGTGCATGAAGGTGTGCAGATTCCTCCCCGGCCAGGCCACCCACACCGCAGGTGACCTGTGTGGCCCTAGTGTGGGGGAAGCTGCCCCATGGGGCTGTGCCCTCTGCATTCCCTCATCCTCACCATGAAACAGCCCAGCAAGGCAGGCTGGGAAAATATAGGACACCTGCATAGCCACTTAGTATAGCCAGCATGCCACAGGTGACAGTGACAAAGACAATGACAAGGACTCGTTGGCTCCATATGTGGGGCATCCACATCCAGGCAAAGCCTTGCAGCATGAGCACATTGGGAACACATGTGCAATGCACACAGAGGAACACGTGAGAGTACAGTGGAAATGAATAAGGGCCTTTTGCTTCTTACTTTTATAAGTCAGTGTGGCCCTGTGGTGACAGATAAAGAAAGAACTGCTGTGGTCCCCTCACGGTAAGTATCTCAGCAAGGGAACCACCCGTGTTCAAGGCCAGTATCTCCCTCCAGAACCTCCCCTTGCCCACCACCTTAACACAGGTCAAGCTGCAAAGACGTGAGCCAATACTCTGGCCTGTCTGTCCTGGTGGATGCTCAGTCAGGGAAGAGTTATCCTTTCCCTAAATCCTGCCCTTCACAGCTCAGGCTGCAGGTCCTCTCTGTTAAGTCTGTCCCCCTAGAGTCAACCAAACCACACTCAGACCTGACCAGAGTAGCTACAGATCCCAGGGGGGGCTCATGCTCAGGGCGGCTGAAGACATGAAGACCACCACACAAGCCACGGATCCTGCCAAAGGTGGGCTGCAAGTCTGAACCACACGGGGTGTGAGCAGTGCGATGACAGTGCAAGCCACTGCTCAGAGGGAACCAATTCAAGACCCAGCCCTGGCACAGCCACCAGATGCCAGTGACACAGCTGTCATAACAGCTCATCTTCTCTCCTAGGCCAAGCAAGGATGCACCCCAGAGCTTCTCGCCCCTGCCACAGCAGGAGCCCTGCTCTTCCTGGTGTGAAACAGCATGCAGGGACTGCACTGGTCTGCAGCCAACAGAAATGTGGTATGCATCACTCCTCTCCTGGATGCCATTCCCAGCCTTGGGGCCACGGTTCAACTGTGGCCAGACACAAGGTGGTAGTGGCAACAGGGCGGACAGTTTATCTGCACCTGTCACTGCATGGGCAGCCTTATCCTCCTCTGGCCAAGCCAAGCGCTTGGGAGCTGGAGCCGAGGGACTGCAGCAGGAGTGACAGCTGCTCTGAATAGGCCTTGTCATTCTTTCCCTAGCATGTTGTGGGGAGCAGCCCGGACTGGACTGAGTTACTGGAATTAAGACTTATTCTATGCATCTGCTCTCCCACAATATGGCGCTGGGAGAGAAGTAAACAGCTTCCGCACAGCTGCCTCCAGTTCAACCAATAAACTGTAGGACTTGCTCCTGATTGGAGAGCAGCGTACTCGGCGTGTGGACAGCCGAGTTAGGATTGGCGGAAGAGGACTATAAAGGAGGAGAGAGACGGCACGCACCAGGAACATCTAAGGGGAACATCTAGCTGAAGGAACACCTGTGCAGCCCCCCAGAGAACCGGCCGGCAGTGTGCCGCTCCCCTGCGGAAGTGGGGAATGTGGCCAGGGGGAACTGCCCTTCCACGGAGGTGGAAGGGATAGTAGCCAACCCGGGAAGAACCAGCAGCAAACCCGGGGAGGGCCGAGCAGATGAAAGAACAGCGCAGGGTCCTGTGTTGCTCCTCCACGAAGAGGGGGAGCGACATAATGGTGCCGTGACTCGGATATGAAGCCTAGGCAGGACTCTGTGTTGCTCCTCCACGAAGAGGGGGAGCGACACATGTCACCAACTAAGAATATTTTTATAGTTATGCTTTAGCTAAGGGATATTATCAGAACAAGTAGGTGAAGGCATAGAAAGACAATTGATTAGAAGGCCTATTTACTAAAATAATTACAGACAACTTCCTTAATTTGAAGAAAGGGACATTCAAGTACAGGAAGCACATGGAAGTCCTAATACACATGACCAGAAAGATCTTCACCATGACCCACCGCAGTCAAATTCTTCACACACCAACATAAAGAAAAGATTCTAAAAACACACAAGATAAATACCAGACCCTTTTCAGAGGATCTCTGATTAGAATCACATCTGACTTCTCATCAAAAACCCTATACAAGGCTGGCGCCATGGCTCAACAGGCTAATACTCCGCCTAGCGGCGCGGGCACACCAGATTCTATCCCGGTTGCCCCTCTTCCAGGCCAGCTCTCTGCTATGGCCAGGGAATGCAGTGGAGGATAGCCAAGTCCCTGGGCCCTGCACCCCATGGGAGACCAGGAGAAGCACCTGGCTTCCACCTTCGGATCAGCGTGGTGCGCCGTCCGCAGCGCGCCAGCCATGGTGGCATTAGGAGGGTGTACCAATGGCAAAGGAAGACCTTTCTCTCTGTCTCTCTCTCTCACTGTCCACTCTGCCTGTCAAGAAAAAAAAAAAAGAAACCCTACAAGGCTAGGAGAATGTGGTGAGATGGTGAGATAATATGCCAAGTCTCAAGAAAAAAAAAAAAAGCTGTTAACCCAGAATACTGTAAGTTGCAAAGCTCTCATTCATGAAAATGAAGATGAAATAAAAAATTAGATCATGGTGAGGACATTTCTTCTGCCCTCTTGACACACACTTCTCCTGCTCCACAATAAACTTTCCACTTCAGCTTCCTGTGACTTTCTGAAGTATCCTCCTGTATCTACTCAAGACATTGAATCCAGTTATAAATCCTCCAGCAAAGAAAATGATAAGCCCTCCTATCCAATACCACTTCACTAATAGCTTCTACCCATACACTTCCAGAATACAGAAGATGAAATACTTGTTTTATGTGACCTGAGATACTTTAATACCAAAATTAGATAAATATATTATGGGGAAAGAAACTGTGCACTAATGTCCCTCATAAACAGAGAATACAATCAAATAAAATCTAGTAATATTTTAATGTATCATGACTAAATGGGGCTTCTCTCACAAATGGAAGTGGATTCAGTATTAGAAAAACCCACCTATGTAATTCATGTGTGAGTGGCTAAAGAAGAAAGATATGAAAGATGCGCAGAAATCAGTCAAATGCTGATCCAACAAAACAAATAAAAATCTATGGGAAACATCACATTGAAATGGTGAAATCCAGCAGAGAAGGTTTTCCCCCAAAGAGGACATAAAAGTTAAGGACATCCACAGTCATTGCTCCTACCTGATGTCACAGAAGGGAGCCCCACTTAGTATTATTAAGGCAAGAAAAACACAATGAATTAAGAGAGCTGAAGGGGAGATGTTAAACTCTGGATTTCCCAAAGACATGATCATCTAAACATAGTGCCAAAAGCATTTTCTAAAAAGTTACTAGGAATAATAAATTATTTTAGCAAGACCACAATGGGTAGAAGGGCAATGTAAAAATATCAAGTGCAGGGCCGGTGCTGTGGCCTACCAGGTAAAGCTGCCACCTGCAGTGCTGGCACCCAACATGGGCACCCACTTGAGTCCCAGATGTCCACTTCTGATCCTGTTCTCTGCTATGGCCTGGGAAAGCAGTGGAAGATGACCCAAGTCCTTGGGCCCCTGCACCCGCTTGCGAGACCCAGAAGAAGCTCCTGGCTCCTGGTTTCCGATCTGCTCAGCTGTGGCCACTGCAGCCATCTGGGGAGTGAACCAGCAGATGGAAGACCTCTCTCTGTCTCTGTCTCTTTCCCTCTGCTTCTAACTCTGCCTTTCAAATAAATAAAAAATCTATTAAAAATCAATAACTTATTATAAAATCAATTGTATACTACCATCAGTGAACAGGTAGATACTGATCTAAAAATCAGTTGTATACTACCAACAGCAAACAGGTAGACAGTGATTTGAAATTTAAAATAGCCTACTGAAATGAAAACTCGTAAACCCTATGAATAAAATACACAATATGTTGGCTGAAGACTAAAATGCTGATGAAGGAAACTAAAGAAGATCTAAGATTGAATATTTTTTTTTGACAGGCAGAGTGGACAGTGAGAGAGAGAGACAGAGAGAAAGGTCTTCCTTTGTCATTGGTTCACCCTCCAATGGCCGCCGCGGCCAGCGCGCTGCGGCCGGCACACCACGCTGATCCGATGGCAGGAGCCGGGTACTTATCCTGGTATCCCATGGGGTGCAGGGCCCAAGTACTTGGGCCATCCTCCACTGCACTCCCTGGCCACAGCAGAGAGCTGGCCTGGAAGAGGGGCAACCGGGACAGAATCCGGTGCCCCGACCGGGACTAGAACCCGGTGTGCCGGCGCCGCAAGGCGGAGGATTAGCCTAGTGAGCCGAGGCGCCGGCCTAAGATTGAATATTAAGATACCATTTCTTCTAAAATGATTCTATAGGTTTAAGGCAATCTAAATAAAAAAAAAATCTCCAGCAAGAGGTTTTTGAGAAAAAAAAACCTGATTATAGTAGGAAAACCCAAGACAATCAACTATCACGTCCACCATGAAAAACAAGGAACTAGGTGAAATCACAATACTGTCTTTCAAGACTTTCAATAAACCTACAATAACCAAGATGGTTTGGGATTCATGAAAGAATAGAAGAAGCATGTTTCAATGGAGTATGATAGTGAGTCCAAAAGTAAACCTCATGCCAAAATACATAAACAATTGTTAAAACTACAAAGAGAAATAAACAAATGCACTATTACACTCACAGACGTCAAGACATCTCTTTTCTTAACAGATCAGCAGTTAGGCAATCAGTAAGGATGTAGTTGAACAGAAAAGCACCGAAATCAACCAAGTGTCAATTGAATCCTTAGAGGATGCTCCATCCACAGCAATGAAACACAACACTCAGACCCACATGGCACATCCACTCTGACCACATTCGTGAGTATACAGCAGACCTCAAATCCTAAGAAGAGGCGCCACACCATGTAAGAATTCAGATCACAAGGTAACAACTACCTGAGAGGTCAGTATGAAAAAGCTGGAAAATCCCAAATACTTGCAAGGAAAACAATCACCCAACATCAAAATAACACATTTATAAATCTCAAATAAAAATATTTCAAACTAAATTGAAATTGTATCCTGCCAATTTATATTAATGGATACATATTTTAGGAAAAAAGAAACAAAATCAATGAGCTACACTTTCAGCCTAGAAGATCAGAGGAAGAACAGCAACTTAAACACTTAAAGCAAGGTGAAGAAAATAAATAATGGAAGATAAAAGTAGAAGTCAAGGGAACTGAAAAAAGGACAATCGCAGAAAAATATCAACAAAACTAAAATTTGATTCTTTAAACACATCGGTGCCACCATGACTCCATGGACAAGATAACTGTAAAGGAATAGTATAAACAATTCTATGACCAAAAATTTCATAAGATAAATGAATTGCATGAATTCCTGGAAACAGAATATGTCAAAATTCATACAAAGAGAAAGGAAAACCTGGAATGCTTCCATAATTACTAAAAAGTTATAATTTATAATAACTAAATAATAATAAAATTTATTAAATAGATATTAGTTACTAAATTCACATATCCCATTTCTACTCAGCTAAAAAGAAACAGTGGGCAGAAAAGTACTCATAGGGACCTGTCTTGTGGCATGGCAGGTTATGACATTGCCTGGAACAATGGCATTCCCTATAGATGCCAACTGGAATCCTGCCTGTTACTTTTTTTAAAAAAATATTCATTTCAAAAGTAGAATTACAGAGAGTCAGAGGGGGAGAGAGAGAGGGAGAGAAGGTCTTCCACCTGCGGGTTTACTCCCCAGATGGATGCAACAGCCTGAGCAAAGCAGATTTGAAGCCAGGAGCCAGGAGCTTCCTCTAGCACTCCCACACAGTTGCAGGGACCCAAGCACTTGGGCCCTCTTCTACTATTTTGCCAGGCCACAGCAGAGAGCTAGAATGGAAGCGGAGCTGCTGGACTCGAACCAACACCCATATGGGATGCTGGTACTGTAGGAAGCTGCTTCATTCACTATACCACAGCTCTTCCCACCCCACCCCACCCCCAACAACCCAGGTTGTTCCCACTTGTGATCCAGCTGTGTGCTCACCCACCTAGGAAAGCAGAGGAAGCAACCCAAGGACTTGGGCCCCCAAACCCACACTGGAGTACTGGATAAAGTACCTGGCTTCTGCTTCAGTCTGACCCAACCCCGGCCATTGTAGCCACCTGGGGTGTAAACCCATACACTGAAGATCTCTCCCACACCACCTCATCTATAACTCTGCCTTTCAAACCAATATTTAGTTTTTATTTTTTGCGGGCAGAGTTAGACAGTGAGAGAGCGAGACAGAGAGAAAGGTCCTCCTTCTGTTGGTTCACCCTCCAAATGGCCGCCACGGCCGGCACGCTATGATCGGTGCTGCACCAATCTGAAGCCAGGAGCCAGGCACTTCCTCCTGGTCTCCCATGTGGGTGCAGGGCCCAAGCACTTGGGCCATCCTCCACTGCCTTCCCGGGCCACAGCAGAGAGCTGGACTGGAAGAGGAGCAACCAGGACAGAATCTGGCGCCCCAACTGGGACTAGAACCCGGGGTGCTGGCACTGCAGGTGGAGGATTAGCCTAGTGAGCTGCGGCACCGGACTCAAACCAATATTCAAATAGAAAAAATATCTATACTTACTCTGAGGTGTCAGAATCTTGGAGCAGGCTGGAACAGAGCACAGAGAGATTCTTGGGGTTTCTTTAACCTTCTGCTTTCTCCTCCGGTGTGCAGACTGTGAAAATTCACCAGATTATGTGCAAATTAATTCAAGTGCCCCATGCCCATGTTCCTGCACACACACGTTACACTTCCGAACAACCCAGAGAAGAGAGGTCATGAGTCAAGGCCTCTTCTCATGAATGCAGTCAAGGCTACTTCTGGCCAGGGACAGAAAACCCCCAAAACAGAACTGGGGCCATGGCAAGAGCTCTTCCTCTCCTACCCCACCCCCACCCACTGGGACTCCTGTCACTCTCCCCCTCCCTTTCCTCTCCCAGATGCGGGTTTCTGCCTTTCCCTTCCCACCTTCATGCCACCTTTTCATTCTCACCACCTCCTCTCTCCTTCCGACTCCCCCTTGACCCCCCTCCTCTTTCTATCCCAGCTATACCCCACACACACTCCCACCCCATGCTCTGCACCCTGGGCCCCGCCTACCCCGTGACAGGAAGGCCACTGCGCCAAACTCCCTGCAGAAAGAGCGGTTCTGTTCCTCTGGAATAGGAACTGAGTCCTGAGGTGTAGTCTTCCAGAAGGAGCTGAAGAAGAGGACCGCACCTAGAAATTTCCGGAAGCCCAAGGTAACTGATGCAACTGCCTCAGGCCACAGCCTCTCCGGATCCCAGCTGATCCTGGGAGGCGCTGGGTCTCAGGTTCCACCAGCAGCATTAAGGACGGCTCCACACAGGGACTAGGGACGGTTGGGTAGGGACAGTCCCCAGCTCTCCTCCTCTGCCCTCAGGAAGAACACTCCTCCCCAACCTGGCATCCCTGTGTCCCACAGGGAGCACCATAGCCCAAGCCCAGGCGTCTCCCTGCCCTGCTTCTGGCTCTCACATCTGATACCAGCTGATCAGACACCTAGTCTTGAACCTGTGTCCCGACACATACTCACACCAAGGCCCATTCGCCACTGGTGCCCTGCAGAGCAGGAGGAATGAGACAACTGTAGATGCTCTGCACACAGGGGCACCACTGAGAACTCAGCAACATCACCCATGGAAACTGGCGTGGGAGACCAGTGCCACCCACCTGGGCGCAACCTTCCCCTGTCGCAGCTCATCTAGAGAGCTAGTCCCAGTCACCTCTGTAGTGAATCCACTCGATTCTGTCAAATGTGCCTCCTGCCTACACTACCAACACCTGGTCAGTTGGGCAGTTGACACACTACTGGGCACTGGGCACCTCACAGCCCAGAGTGCACATCCTCAGTGACTATGATGTCATAGAAGCCTGCCGACCAATCCCAAGTGGCTCTGCTGTGACAGGGGTGTCAGGCTCCTCAGCCCTGGCTTCATTAAAGGCCACCAGAAGTGGGGCCTGAGTTCTCCCCAGGGCCCAGGTGAAGAGGGCAGGGCTCTGGCAGAACTGCCACGGAACCAAGGGTGCCAGGGCCCTCTGCCACCTGCTGGGAAGGTCTCAAGTCCTGGGAAACCTGTACCTCCTGCCCCTCCTTTCTTCCTCTGCAATTTGCACAACTGTGAAGCCCTCTTTATTGGAATACAAGGTGGCATAGGGAGCCCCACATATACCTGTCCATCTTCCTGAGGTCCCCATACTGTGGCTGCCCCTGCCGTGATCTGAACTGAGACTCCAAGGACTGCAGCCTCCTGTCCTACAACAGGTCCCATCCCAGCACTGCCAACCCCCACTGTCTCCTCCTGCTCTGTTCCTGTCCCTCTTCCTGGGAGTTTTAGGTGGTGGACACAGGGCTGGGTCTCAGGTTCCTGGGATGGAGGGGAACTGGCCAGCTGAGCACCACCTGCATAGGACCTCAAGCTGGCATGGCCCAGACCCCAGACTTCCAGAGTGGGAACCAGGGCCCTGTCCTGGACACTGACCAGAGACAGGCATAAAGCACTGAGAACTCCTTGGGAACCAGCGCCTGATCCATATGCTAGTAATACGCGGCTGCCATTGACAATAAGTACAGGGACAGCACGCGTCAGGTGGGAACAACCACAGGCCCACAGCTCCCTGGAGTGCTGATCAGCAGCTTGCTCCTCCTGGGGAAAGTGGCTCAGCCCTCACCCAGCACCTCCTTGGTCCTGAGTCCCACACTGCCCCTAGCCTGCTACCTTGGTGCCACAGTCTATTCTTTTCCCTTCAAGGGACCATTTCTTTGCCTTTCTGCCCACTTCCCTTGCACTGGTATGGAGACCACAGTGTCCAGGGCCCTGGTCACCCACACACCTGCTGGCCTCCTCTGTGGAGCATGAAGGAGTACACAGCTGTGTCATGTCCAGAGATGCTATCAGGCAAGGCGTGGGGTTTGTTTTAAAAAGGTTTATTTTATTTATTTAAGAGACAGAGTTAGAGAGAAAGATAGAGACAGAGGGAGAGGTCTTCCTTCTGCTGGTTCACTCCCCAGATGGCTGCAATGGCCGGAGCTACGCCAATCCAAAACCAGGAGTCAGGAGTTCCTTCCAGGTTTCCCACATGTGTGCAGGGGCCCCAGGACTTGGGACATCTTCCACTGCTATCCCAGGCCATAGCAGAGAGCTGGATCAGAAGAGGAGCAGCTGGGACTAGAACCAGCTCCCATATGGGATGCCAGCACTTCAGGCCAGGGCTTTAACCTGCCGCACCACAGTGCCAGCCCCAAGACTTGGGTTTTAACTTATTCTTTTATTACCCCTCCCCACTCAGTTTTTACTCTTTTAAATTTCATTTTAAACTATTTTGGAGATTCACAAAGTAATGTAAAATAATACAATGAATGCTGAATGGGTATCACCCAGCTTCAGCAGTCAAATATTCTTAATTGGGTGGAAGATGCCCATGGATTTTCTTTTCTCTGCCTGAGCTTTTGTTCTCCAGATTATCCAGAGTTAGTGTTCTCCAGATTACATTTTCCTTCACTGGGGGTAAGGCTTGTTCCCCAGAGTCCATGTGCTGGGAGCATGGGCCCAAACCCAATTCCTGAATGGACTGACGCTGTCTCCTGGGATGGGTTAGGGAGCACAAGGATTAGTTACCATTGTTATTGTTACTTATTATCAGGGGGTTGTTACAAATTTTTAATTTACTTATCTTGGGAGGTGTTTGCTTCCATCCACAGTTCCACTCACCAGATGCCTGCAGTGGCAAATGGCTGAAGCTGGATCTTAACCCAAATCTTCCACGTGGGTGGCAGGAACCCAACTATTTGAGTCATCCTCACTGCCTCCCAGAGTCCACATGTGTAAGAAGCTGGACTCAGGAGCTGAGGCTGGGGATTGCCTCCGGGTACTCCAGTATGAGATGCAAGAGTCCCAATGGTGTCTTCACCTCTTTATCTGCCCTGGGGTTGTTATCAGGGACAGGGCATGGTCCTCCTCCTCCTCCATCTCACACAGGCTCTTGCTGGGTGATGCCATCTGCCATGAGGCCCTCACCAGAAGCTGATGCCTGTGCCACGCTCTCAGGCCAGTCAAGTCACAAGCCAAACTGAACTTCTTTAATTTTATAAGCAACGCAGCTTCAGGTATTTTGCAGAGGGCACAGCACCATGGGGCAGCTCCCCCACACTAAGGCCACACAGGACAGGGACACTGAGGAACGGCACTGATTGTTTGAGCCTGAAGAAGACAATGAGAACTGCCTCGTCCCAGATAGGCTTGGGTTCCTGCAGTGAGTCCTTCGCACCCAGCTCACCCCAGGGAAGGGACTGGGGTCAGAAACCCCAACCATGAGGTGGCACACCTGTCCTCAGGCCCCGACCTTGACCCCAGCTGTTGTCATAGTGCAGGCACCATCTCCTGCTCATCTTATTCCCCACACCCTCACCCCTATTCCTCAGTCCACCTTGGAATTCTCACTGATTTATTTCTTTATTTTCATTTTATTTATAAGGCAGAGAGACAAGGGTCAATCTTCCACCCTCTGGTTCACTCCCCAAATGCTCACGACAGTGAAGGTTGGGCAAAGCTGAAGCCAGGAGCCAGGAGTGCCATCAGACATGGTGGCAGGGACCTAAGCACCTGGTCATCATCTGCTGCCTCCCAGGATGTGCATTAGCAGGAAGCTGAATTGGGTGCAGAGTAACCAGGACTCAAACCAGACACTCCAATAAGGGATACAGGCATCCCAAAGGGGTTAACCGCTGTGCCAAATGCCTGACCTCTCAATGTTTCTTGAACTCACCAGACTCATGCCTGTCTTGAAACCTTGATGTTCTCTTGGCCTAGAATGTTCCTTTTCCATATCTATTCCTGGCTTCCTCCCTCATTTTACTCAGGCCTGTTCAAATTTTACCCTCACAGGGACACCTGCTCCCTGTCCATCACCTGGGACCTCCTGCTGCTTGACTGTCTTCACAGCATGGATCCTGGCCCTGGTGGGCTGTGGTCAACCCTGTCTCCCTGATTTGAGCCATCCTCATAGTTAAATCCCAACACCTTGAGAAGGACTTGGCACACAGCAGGTACAAGGTAGGCTTGAGTAAGTGACTCACTCAGGTTCTGAGACCAGGTGGTCATTAAAACTACGCTTCCCAGGCACACTTCTTAGTCCAACTCACTCCAAAGGCATTCAAGGCATATGCAGGCCATGCAGAAGCCCAGCTGGCTGAGGACCAAGGTCAAGCCCTACACAGGCATCACCACCCCCATCCTGTTCCCAAAAGACATTCCAGACCCCACCTGTTTTCCATAACAATCCACTCACCTCCTGCAACCAAGCACCACCTAGAGGGCTTGACTGTAGGAGATGCTGGCATGGTGCCAGGTTCTGACTAACCACCCCCCCCCCGCTTAGTTGGCAGGAGCTGTCTTCCTTGGAGTTGGGCAGTGGGCATTGTTAGGAAACTGGCACAGTTGGCAGCATGGCCCAGCTACCTGAGCCAGGCTCCACCCCCATCCTAATGGGATTGGCTGCTCCTGCTTCCCTGCCCGCCCTCAGGCAAAGTTTTAAAAGGGCCTGTTCCTGAACATGTGCTCTCTTGGCCCTTCTCTCCTGCTCTCTTTCGGTTCCTCTCTCTAGCTTCCTCCTCTGGTCTCTTGGCTCTTGGTTCCTTTCTCTCAGTCCTTCTCTCCTGCTTTCTCTCGGTTCCTCTCTCCAGCCTCCCTCTCTGGTCTCTTGGCTCTTCTCTCTCGGTCCTTCTCTCCAGCATCCTCCTCTGGTCTCTTGGCTCTGCTCTCCTCTTCTCTGCTCTATTTTCTCTCCTTGCTAGCTCCTCTCCTCTCTGTCTCTCTTACAGTCTCCCTCTCTTTTTCCTTCGCCACCCCTTCACTCCTGTCTGTAGGGTGTTCCCCAATAAACCCTTTCCCTTACTCCGGTGTCCGGTGTGCTTTGCAATGGCTAACATTAAGATATAACAGGCATGGAGCGAAAAGGTAGGTGTGTCCCCATGGCTGTTGTATGTGGCAGGCAGCCTGTCCCAGGAGCACTCAGTTGCATTGTCCCCCTCCAGGCTGTCCCCCATGACAAGCATTTCTTGTGCTGTGTAAAGGTGGGTGGCCATTCATTGCCACAGAACCAGCACTGAGGCTGGCTCTGCTCTCTGGTGGCAGGGCTGGCTGCTGGCACCTGAGACTGGACCTGCTGCAGTCAGGGACCTTTAGGCTCCCCGAGTGTAG